CACACACACACACACACACACACACACACACACACACACACACACACACGGTACAGGTACAAAGGCTGTCAGTGCCAGAGGTCGGGAAGAACCTGAGCAGAGCGGTGTCTTCCGGACATGACAGGACTGTTGCACTCATGAGCACAAGATGGCGCAAGATCAAGCTGGTCAGCCTTCCAGCATGGAGTGGGAGGGGTGCACACGCCTCCACACACGCCAAAGGGGCTGCTGATAGCTGAGGGCTTCCGGGGTAGGGGGAGTCCCTTTTCTTTTCTGGACAGCACAAATTATTTTTCTTTTTTTATATTTGTTTATTTTTACTTTGTATGAGTGTTTTGCCTGCATGAAATGTACGTGTACCATGTGTGTGCCTGGTGCCTGGTGTGACCTGAGGAGGGCTTGGATTCTCTGGAGTTACTGGATGGTTCTGAGCGCCCGTGTGGGTGCTGGGGACCTCTGCAAGGGCAGCTCAGCTCCTCACTGCTGAGCATCTCTCCAGACACTTTGCTGGTTATTAAAAAGAAGAAAAAAAAAGAGGACAAGAAGCTGGGGAACAAGGAGGTAGGGGTGGGTCTGGGGGGGAGGTAAGGGATGAGTGGGGATGAACATGATTAAAATACATCACACGAGATTCTCAAGGAATTAATAAAAGTGTCATTAAAATTAAAAAAGTGAATCAGAGCTTTGTGTTTTGAGATCATTTTTCTTTCACTATGTTGCTTAGGTTGTCCTTGAACTCCTGGACTCCAGGAGTCCTTCTGCCTCAGCCTTCGGAGCAGCTGGGATTACAGGAGCATGCCACTGTGGTCAGGTGAACAAATGCAGAGGTTTTTTGTTTTGTTTTGTTTTTTGTTTTTTGTACATAAACTTTGTGACATTTATCTTGGCTTTAATAATTTTTTTCTCTTCATTTTAAAAGTTGTATTCTAAATAACAGATCACAAGTTCATATATATGGGACTAACCATTAAAATTGTTATTAGTATGTGTGTGTGTGTGCGTGTGTGTGTGTGTGTGTGTGTGTGTGTGTGTGTGTTTGTGCGCGCGTGCACGCACGTGCACATCTGGAGATCAGAGGACAACTGGGTCAGAGGTTACCTTTACATAGGTCCCAGGGACTGAACTCAGGTCTTCAGTTTTGTACAGCAAGTGCTTTATCCACACTTTCCTAGCCTGTGTCTTGTCATCCTTAAAATATGGGGAAAGATAATGATCTAAATATACTGTATGAAATAATTTAAAGAAAAATTAATTAATTAAAAAATACATAGCATGCTCTTTAAGTGGAATATCTTTTTTTTGGGGGGGGGGTTGGTTTTTCGAGACAGGGTTTCTCTGTGTAGGCCTGGCTGTCCTGGAACTCTGTAGACCAGGCTGACCTCGAATTCACAAAGATCAGCCTGCTCTGCCTCCTGGGTGCTGGGATTAAAGGCGTGCACCACCACGCCCAGCCAAGTGGAATATTTTGTAAAAGACAAGAAATGACAATTCTACTCCCAAGAAGGTAGGAAACAGTTGTGACCATTCTAGCCTAATGTTAGCTTCTGACAAAGTTTTGAGGGAATATAAATATTTGGGGGAACATCTACTTCCAAAGGAATGGATGTAGCCTAAGTATCTCTGCTTCCCACTGAGTGATTTTAGTCACCTACTGAACTTAATTCTATTTGATGCCTTAATGCTTTTATTTTATTACCAGCACTTAAAATTACAATCTCAGGGTTGGGGATTTAGCTCAGTGATAGAGTGCTTGCCTAGCAAGCACAAGGCCCTGGGTTCGGTCCTCAGCTCTGGAAAATAAATAAATAAAAATTACAATCTCTTCAACCTAAATCTCTCTCTTACCAAATGAAAAGAACATTGCAGGTAGAGACTGTTAATTATTGTTTTTCTCAGAATTTCCCATGGAGTCAGACACTAACAAAAATGCTTACGAGACCCAGAGAGAGAGCCTGGAAGTCCACGTGCTGCTGTGCGAGCATGAAGTCCCAGGCTCAAGCCCAGAACCCATGTAAAAAGTCAGGCACGGAGGTGCATGGCCTGCACGGCCAGCCTGGCCAGTGAGAGACCCTTCTCAAAAACTGCCGAGAGAAGGAGAAACAGTCCTCCCTAGGGAAGAGTCCCCCCAGCTGATTATCCATACCAAGTGGTCAGTCCTGAAATCATATACATACTACATACAAGGAACATCATATGGACTAAGCAGGTTGCATCTATATATTTAGGAAATATATGCATATATTATATATGCATGTTACATATATACACGTTAGTTTCCACTGCAGCAGTAGCCTGTCTCTGCTGCCAAAGCAGGCCCACCATCATCTGTCGCCAGGTGCCTTCCCACTGCCCACTATGAGATGAGATCGCTCTCTTGCCTCTTCTTTTCCGTTTCTCTTGTCTCTCTTGCCTCTTGCTCCTCTCTTGCCGCTCTTCTTCCTCATTTCTCCCCTGTCTTTCTGCCTGTCTGTCTGCCTGCATCTCTCATATCCCCACTCCAACAGGGCCTTTCACGCTTTCATTCTCCCCTCCCCCGATAAACCTCTTGCACTGACTCTGTTGTGCGTGGCGTGTTTGCTTAGTGGCACACCTTGGAAGGGAAGGGCCCGCCGAAAGGTACCCACTTCATCCTTCCTTCTTATCCTTTCAGTGTATGTGTATATGTATGCAAAGAAAAAGAGGACATGAACTTGAGAGAGAGGCTCGGGGTGGTACATGAGAGGTTTAGAGAGAGACACGGGAAAAGGGAAAAATGACACAACTATAATTCAATTTAAAACGTGGTAGACAGTGCCTGAGGAATGACACTAAATTCTAGCCTACACATACACACAACACATGTGCACCCACATGAACACACACATACACACACACTCTTACACACACACATGCACACATGTGAACATACATACACACTCCTATGAATAATAAATTCATGTTTAAATTTTAAAAGTAATACTTAGAAACTGCCCCTATATTTTCATATTTCACTAGATGTTCTTGAAATTTAGAATTCAAAAACTTGTGTTCAATGGTTTTATGAATGCCAGCTTCTTTCCTTCACTGGCAGGTCTTCAACATCCCATGCTATAACCCTAAGGTGGGCAAAGCACTATGCTTCACATGGCACTGCTCATTTGTCGCAGATTAACGAGAGAATGTTGCTTTCTGTTTCATTGCTAGAGTCCTGGTGATTTCCAACATGTTAGTCAACTGTCCAAGAAGAACATTCTGAGTGACTTCCTTCCTCAAAACATATTTATTTGTTTGTTTCTGTGCATCTAAGTATATGTGTGGGTGTACCTGGACAGCGCATGTGTGGAGTTGGAGGACCCTTTTTCAGAGGTTAGTTCTCGCCTTCCTCTGTGTGGATTGCGTGGATGGAACTCAGGTAAGCATTTTTACCTTCTGAATCATCTTGGTGGCCCATGAGTGACTTTCATAAGTAGGTAATCTACCATTACTTCCAGGACTGTCACTAATCAGTCTACACTTGTGACGAGAATCCTCCATGTCCTATACTATGATTGGAAAGCAGGCTGTTTCCAGTCAGAAAGGCTACATCTGATGCCTGGCTCTGCCACTTACCAGTTACAGACACACTATTAAGAAAATCCTGAGCTGGGCAGTGGTAGCTCACACCTTTAATCCCTGCACTCAGAGGCAGAGCCAGGCAGATCTCTGTGGGTTTGAGGCCAGCCTGGTCTACAAAGCAATTTCCAAGACGGCCAGAGCTACACAGAGAAACCCTGTCTCAAAACAAAACAAGGAATCTCTGCTATTACACCTAAATTATGAACTTAAGAAGGTATAGCATAGAACAGCATGGGGGAATCCCAAATGATTTTAAGAGAAAACAGAAAAAAGTGCAAAACCCATACAATACTACAAACTCATTAAAAAGATAAAATGGAAAGGTCTGCATACTCCAATGCAAGGGCAACCCCCACCCACCTCAGACTATTAGGGTACGGCAGCAGACTTGGCTCACAAGGACAGGATGTTCTTCATAAACTTTCCCAAGATGCCTTTCACAGGTCCAAGTCCATTTCAGTGGACCTGGCAGGCTTTGCTAAAATGCAATCATGTCTTACGCTTGTAAGTTGTTTACTTATGTGTACATTATAATTAATTTTGTACGTGGGATCATTTAATACCTCTTGAGACAGAATTGCCTCTGGCTACTTCTAAATGAAAATTAGTAACCATACATTGAGAGGATAAAATTGGTGAGAGTTTACACAGTCAAGGTTATAGCAGTCAAGGTTATAGATTTTAAGAATCGGAATCCCAACATTCCAGAAGCTAGGGCAGGAGGACTGCCACAGGTTCCAGGCCAGCCTAGGCTACAAAGTCAGCTCCAGTTTGTTTGTTTGTTGTAAAGCCTTCCATCCAAACAAACCTCTAGGGCAAATGGATTCACAGCAGAATTCTACCAGGCTTTCAAAGAAGATCAGCAGCCAATCCTTAAACTATTACAAAACAAACCAGAAACAGTGAGAACTCTCAAACTCCTTCTATGAAGCCAGTATCACTCTAATATCAAAACCAGGTAGAGATATGACAGAAAAAGAAAATTACAGGCCAGTATCCCTGATGAACATGGATTAATAAAATACTTGTGGGGGTTGGGAGGAGGGAGGACAGGGGAATCCGTGGCTAATATGTAAAATTAAATTAATTATAAAATAAAAATATTAAATAAAGAAATAATAAAATACTTGCAAACAGAATACAGACATACATCAAAAAGATTATCCACCATGATAAAGTTGGCTTCATCTATGAGACACAGGGATGCTTCAACAAACTCAAATCAATAAATGTAATATACCCTATACCATATAAATTGACTTAAAGGTTTAAAAAAAACACATAATCATCTCAATAGATTTGACAAAATCCAACATGCCTTCATAATAGAAGTCCTAGAGATAATAGGACTAGAGGGAACATATCTCAACATAACAAAAGATATATATGAAAAACTCACAGCCAACTCCACGCCTGGAGAAAAGCTTGAGTAATACCACTGAAGTCAGAGGTATGACAGGGATCTTCATTATCCCCACTCCTTTTCTTTCTTTCTCTTTTGTTTTTGTTTTTTTGAGACAGGGTTTCTCTGTGTAGCTTTGGAGCCTGTTCTGGAGCTTGCTCTGTAGACCAGGCTGGCCTCGAACTCATGGAGGTCTGCCTCCTGAGTGCTGGGGTTAAAGACCTGCGCCACCACTGCCAATGCCCACTCTTTTTCAATGCTGTGCTCAAAGCACCAGCTAGAACAGTAAGACAAGACAAAGAAATTAAGAAGACCCCCAATAGGAAAAGAAGAAGTCAAACTATCCCCATTTGCAGGTGTATATACAATGAGTCAACACATCTAAGAGCTGGTTATTTAAGAAGATAAACTGCATTGATAGATCCTTAGCGTAATTAACCAATAGAAAGAGAGGACCTTAGTATTTCTCATACTATACATGAGAGATCTCAAACATCCTACCAGAAAACTTCTAGAAATGATAAGCAAATGAAGCAATGTGGCAGAATCAGTTTGCCCAAATCAATAGCTTTTCTTTACACCAACAACAAAAACACAGAGGAGATTGTGGACACAGTCTCATTCACAGTAGCCTCAAAAAAAAAAATATAATAGTCAAGAATAAACCTAGCCAAGGAAGTGGAGGACCTCTACATGAAAACTTTAATCCTCTGAAGAAAGAGATAGGAAAAGACATTAGAGAATGGAAAGACATCATTGATGATGGTTTTTGGCAACTTCAGGAATAAATGGCAATTCTCATTTAAAAAAAAAAGAAAAAGGAAAAATATCCCATGCTCATGGATTAGTAGAATCAATATTCTGTAAATGAACATTTTACCAGAAGCCATTCATAGATTCAATGCAACCCCAATCAAAATGCCTTTCCTAGTCATCACAGAAATAGAAAACACTGCCCTCCTATGGATTCACAAAAGACCCCAGATAGCCAAAACAATCCTGATCAAAGAGAATAATGCCAGAGGGATTACAACTCCAGATCTCAAGATACGTCACAGAGCCACGGTAACAGAACCAATATGGTCTGGCACAAAGATAGGCATGTAGACCAATGGAACAAAATCAAAGACCCAAACATGAACACATAGAATTTCAGCCATTTAATATTTGACAAAGACGCCAAGTCATAAGCTATAGAAAAGAAAGCATCTTTAAGAAATGGTTCTGGGAAAGTGGCTGTTCACCTGCAGAAGAAAGTAGACCTGTAGATCTATCATCTTGCAAGAAAACAAACTCGAAATGGATCAAAGGCCTAAATGTGAAACATGGAAGTTGCTAGAAGAAAATACAAGCAGTATCCTACATGATATAGGTGTAGCAAAGGCTTGCTGAATAGAACTCTATTTACCCAAGAATTAAGGCCAACAATTGACAAGTGGGATCGCATAAAACTAAAAAGGTTTCTTTACAGCTAAAGAAATATTCAGTCAGGTGAAGAGGAAGCCCACAGAATGGGAGAGAATCTTTGTCAGCTATTCATTTGACAGAGGGTTAACATCCGGAACATATAAAGAACAAAAGAGAAAAGAAACGAAAGGAAAGAGGAAAGGAAAGGAAAGAGGAAAGGAAAGGAAAGGAAAGGAAAGGAAAGGAAAGGAAAGGAAAGGAAAGGAAAGGAAAGGAAAGGAAAGGAAAGGAAAGGAAAGGAAAGGAAGGAGGGAGGGAGGGAGGAAAGAAGGAAGAAAGGAAGCAAGCAAAGAGTACAAATACCAATCAATGACCTATGCAAAAAACTGGGCCTGGGATCTAAACAGAATTTATATAGATAATTAAAATAGATAGATGGATGGATGGGTGGATGGATAGATGGATGGACAGATGATAGATAGATAGATAGATAGATAGATAGATAGATAGATAGATAGATAGATAGATAGATAGCTAAGAGATATCTCAAAAATGTTCATTGCCACTTACAATTAGGGAAATGCAAACCAAAACTACTCTGAGATTTGATTTCCCTTGAGTCATAATGGCAGAAATCAACAAAACAACCAACAACAAATGCTGGAGAGAATGTGGGGGAAAGGGAGTCCCTCATTCACTGTTGCTGGGATTGCAAAGTGGTCCAGGCACTATGGAAATCAATGTGGAGATTCCTCAGCAAGCTAAAAAGAAATCTACCATATGACTGAGCTATACCACTCCTTGGCATATGCCTGAAGGATTCAACATCTACTTCACAGATAAGATACTTGCTCAGGCATGTTCACTGCTGCTCTATTCACAGTAGCTAGGAAACAGAAACAATCTAAATGTCCTCCAACTGACATACAGACACTGAAAATGTGGTACATATACACTAGGGAATAATATCAGCTATAAAGAAAAATTGTATCATGAAAATTTCAGGTAAAGAGATGAGCCAGAATAGAGTGTAACAAGTGAGGTAACCCAGACCCAGAAAGACAGATGTCACATGTTCTGTCTCACCTGAAAGTCCTAGCTCCAAATCCTCAGACGTGAGTTTATAACCTGGGGTAAATGAAGAAACCAGGAAAATAAAAAGGGACACTTTGGGGAGGAGGTGGGGGAGCAAGAGAGAGAGGAATAGCACAGGACAAGCAATCTGATGGAGGAAAGGGGGAAATGTCGGGTTCTAAATGGGGAGGAGGAAGAGGGAAGAACAGAAGATGTCGGGTCCTAAACAGGGAGGAGGAAGAGGGAAGTACAGAAGATGTGGGGTTCTAAACAGGGAGGAAGAGGGAAGTACAGAAGATGTCGGGTTCTAAACAGGGAGGAAGAGGGAAGTACAGAAGATGTCGGGGTTCTAAACAGGGAGGAAGAGGGAAGTACAGAAGATGTCGGGGTTCTAAACAGGGAGGAGGAAGAGGGAAGTACAGAAGATGTGGGGTTCTAAACAGGGAGGAAGAGGGAAGTACAGAAGATGTCGGGGTTCTAAACTGGGAGGAAGAGGGAAGTACAGAAGATGTCGGGGTTCTAAACTGGGAGGAAGAGGGAAGTACAGAAGATGTCGGGTTCTAAACAGGGAGGAAGAGGGAAGTACAGAAGATGTTGGGGTTCTAAACAGGGAGGAGGAAGAGGGAAGTACAGAAGATGTCAGGGTTCTA